TTAAAAAAATAAAATGTGTATTTTAAACAGGGGACAAATACTTCAGAGGCTGAGGAAGGACAATTACCATGAGCTCAAGGCTAGCCTGGGCTACATGTTAAGTGCAAGGCTAGCCTACACTTCATAGTGAGACCCTGAGTCAAAAACAAAATAAAAAGGTGGGGCGGGGGAGGAAAAATATACAGAAAATTTTCAAAAGGGAAGATAAATAGTAATGAGAGATATGCAGCAGACCAAAATCACACAACAGATGCAGGTCACACTGGTTTGAAACATACTGAAAGTTCCATAAAACCACCTCCGGCAGCTTCTGTTGCAGCTGGATGAGTATGTGAACAGGGTGAGTGAACCTGGGGCGAACTCTTCCCTCAGGACCTCGGGCTTCCCAGTGACTGAGTTCGGAGAGGTGGTAGCACCCAGAAAAGCACCAAGTGGGGGGCTGGCAGGATATTTTGTGAACACAGATGTGCAATGCACAGCGACTTGGTTAGTGCTTTGAGAAAGGATAAACCTGCCTCAATGGGCTCAACCACGAGCCTTCCGCAAGGCTTCTCACTGCGACCCCAGGTGTGCCCCACAGGCAGCCCTCCCTGCACAGTGTCACTGTGACACCCAGACAGCTACAGGGGTCTCAAGTGTTACCTCTAGTGGAAGGAGAAAGCTCCGGGCCCCTTGTCACGGAAGCTAAGGAGACCCAACGCTGCACAGATCCTGTAATTATACCATTCTAATTTGGTTTTAAGCCCAGACCCTTCTCATGGTGGAACGAGCCATGCAGGATGGCAGGATGCTGTCCCCAAGATACCTGAGAGCGAACCAGAGGGGGCAGCGCTGCAGCCCGCATTCCAGGGCCTCTGGGCACACGCTTGAAATTCAGGCACTCAGAAGGCTGAGGCAGGGGCATCACAAGTTTGAGTCCAGCCTGGGGAATCAGGTAACTTAGTGAGGCAGTCTCAAAAATAATTAAAAAAAAAAAAATTTAAAAAGGTTGGAGAAGCTCACTGTGAACATCATGGGTTCACTCCCTAGTCATACACACATACACACACACACACACACACACACACACACACACACACAGGTCTGAGCTCTGCAGGCTTCAGCTTGTGGCAGGCTGTACTAGCTAAGCCACAAGACAAATCTGTACCATGACCCCTCACCCCCTGCTCTCATCAGCACAGCACAAGCCCCCAGCCCTGTACCAGGCAGCAGCAGAGGAAGGGGATGGCCAGATTAACGTCAAATTCAATGCACGACCCAGGCCCAGAAGGCTCTAGTTTATATTCACTATCAGAATAAACCTTAACACTGTAGGGAAAACATTTAAAATTATTTCATGGCCAGGGAGATAGCTCAGCAGCATAGGTGCCTGTCTGGCAAACACAAGGTCCCCAGTTCAATTCCTGGTACTGAAAATAAAATAATATCATGGCCCTTTCAAGTTTTCAATATTTATAACTTTTTGTTTGTCTTTTGAAACAAAGTCTTGCTATATAGTTCAGGCTGGCTTTGAACTCACTATGAAGCCCAGGCTGGCCTCAAACTCCCAGCAATCCTCCTGGATCAGCCTCCCATGTGCTGGGAGTTCAGGGGTATCCCACCATAGCTGCCTGCAGTAACATTTAGGCTTCACAGATGTGAATGGATAAAAGATACTTCGGGCTGTGAACATGTCACAACTAACCAAGGAATGACTGTTTTTAATGTGTCATTTGATTTTTTACTAGTACAAGTCTGTAGTGACACTCCTTAGGTGGAGTTGATACACGTACACACCTTAATGCCTGTTTTTATCCCTTTCCCTCTCCTCTCCACTTCCTATGATCTGTTTCTGTTCTGCTCTCTGTGACTTACACACATGAAGTACTACTTTGCCATAATAAAAGATAAACTTGAGTCATCTGTAGGAAAGTCGATCAGCTTTGAGACCATGATGCACCGTGGAATAAATGAGACACACAGCTTAAATATACATGGCTTTCCTTAGATGAGAAACCCAAATTATAAAGAGCAACATACAGGTAGGTTAGATAGCGCAGCAGACTAAGTACCTGCATAGGCAAGTACAGGGACCGAGATTTGATCCCCAATGATACACCATGCTGCGTAAGCACCAGCCCCACCCCAGGGCACACTGAGCTGGCAACCAAGCCTGGGTTCCAGCACTAGGGAGGCTGATCTGAGCTGCATAGGGAGACCCTGTACCACAGACACTTAAAAAAAAAAAAAAAAAAAAAGGAGCAAAATAAAAGGTTTTCTACTTTTATATAGATTTAGCCAAAATAATTTTTGAAATCTAAATAGTTACAGTGGAAAAATTTTACTATCAGTCTGCAAAAAGTGGAAGGCTATGTTGAGCATTTCATTGTTGAGTTTTTATTGTAATCTATCCCTCTGATCAAATTTTCACTGAAGAAGGAATAGTTCTCTTTTTCAAAAGGAGCACTGCTGGTGTTACAGATGAGGAGAGAAAAGACACTCAAAAGAAGTCTAAGCACACCAACACACACACGCACACGAAATACACTGCGCTTTGCATGCTTCAGTACGGCTCCTGCGCTCACTTCCTCTGCAATGAAATCCACGAGCTTAATTTTCTTAAGTTATGAGCTTAATTGATTTAATAGCCAGCAGCTTGTTCCTTGACCTGAACAGATTCTTCCGCTGGGCCTCCCGTGCACTGCGAATTCATGAAGCCCAACCAAGTTCCCAGAAGAGCAGCGTCACTAGAGGTACTGGGACGTAGATTAAAAGCAAAGCTAGGAAATGAACTGAGCCTTAGGCAAATTAATAACACAGGTGAAATCATTATGCAAAAATCTTTGTTTCACTGGAAATATCTGAGTATGTATTATAAGACTATTTTGGAAAATGTTGATAGAACTCTGCGTTGAAACTCAGAAAGTCACCTTAAATTGCAAAGGAAAAATATTTAGGATATGAAAAATGGCACAGGATTAATGAAGCCCTTTGGCAAGTTTCAAGAGGTGGAAGCCGGACAATGTTTCTTTCCATCGCTCTGTTGCTCTCTAAATGACATATTTGCCTGTGGATGAATCTGAGTTCATGCATCTGCCCAGCATGTTCTCCTGGCAGGGACAAGAAATGCCTCTAGAACACAGCTCTATAGCTGTGAGTGGCTAAATGTCATAGTACACACACCAAGGAACACGGTGTCCTGACCTAAGGAGAACGTGCATAGACGTTTGAGCAGCCTAAAATGGTGAGGACCAGAGAGAATCCTACCGAACAAAATGCAGTGATTTAAAAACAAACAAACAATGGAGCCAGGCTGCAGCTCAGAGGCAGACTACTTTCTGAGCGTTCGGGAAGCCTGGGGTCCATTCCCTGCACCACAAATAAAAAAATCCATGCAATATAAGCTGAGGAGTACCCAGTAGGATAAACCCAGATTTGACTCAAAAATTTCCCCATGTATACATTATACAATTTGAAAAGCTATAGAATATTAAAGGAACCATTCTACTTCAGAACAAAATGGAACCAAAATAGCCTTAGAAGCATTTGATGAACAACAGCAACAACAAAATCGAAACATTCATCTCTTTTAAATAAAGCGGCAGTACTCTTGCTTGTTCCATCATCCGGCATGAGACAGAAAGCACTCTGGCCACAGAACTGTCCTAAGACGCCAGACTCAACCACAGGGACGCTGCCCTGTGCTCTAGCCACAGCATGACTGAGTTTCCTAAACCGTCTCACCCAAGCAGGAGGCTTAGCGAGGCTAGCACTACAGCTCGCTGAGCCTGCTCAAAAGCTGAAATGAGACACCACAGAGGGAAGAGCCCAGAACCTCCAGGAACGGGAGCGTGCAAAGGCTCCCCAGACCCCACACGAGGATGGTCAATGTGCTAGTCACTCAGGAGAATGACTCCTTAAGTAACTCTTTCAGCTCCTCACTTCTCCTACCTTTGAGTTCGCAACACAGAATAAGTCAACAATAGTTAAGAATCTTTCTGGAAGACATACAATGCAACTTAAGTAGGAAATGTCACAAGTGTGAAAAATCAAGAAATGTCACACTGCGAAGGAAAACAACATAGAGAAAAATTAACAGCCTTGAATTCTTATTATAAACCAAGACACTTACAATGAGATATTAAAACTCAAACGGGTTTACTCCAAGATGAGTACTCCTTTAAAATGTCTATATCACATACTCATAGATGAATGAGGCAGGATGCTAAATATTTTGTCATTTAAAAATCATCAAAAATTCAGTATTAATGTGTTTATTTATCTAAATTGCTTTTCTATCTTCTATGTAAAAGAGCTAAGTAAAACCATTAAAATCCATGCAGATACTCCAATCTTTTTTTTTTTTTTTACCTTCTTTACATTGCAGTCATCTGACAACCAGCATTTGGATTGACACAGAAAATGTAACTGAATAAAAAATATTTACATTTTAAAAAGCAGAAGGGATAAAAGAACATCTTTCTAATGAGGCAGAATCAAATAACTGGAGTCTACCTCTCCTGCTCCCGCTTCATTTGACTCCTCTCCTCTTCTGACGGAAAGGGCTCCTGCACTTTTATTTTACCCGTTTTCTCAATCTTGTCATCTTTCCGATGTTTGCCAAACCTGTTGATAACAAAAAATTCTAACTTGTCAATGTATACGAGATAAGTTTTCTTCCCTTTGTAATAAAGACATGCACTCAGGGAAGCCTCAGCTTCTTCAAAATAAAGGCCAAGTGTCGCCTCCATTCTGTATTCACAATTTTCAATCAGAATATTTTATTCATTTACACTTAGAACATTCTAGAGAAAATCTTTATAGAAAATGGTCTCAATACCCATTTTCTTTTCGGCAAAATAAAAACAAAAGTGAATGGTGGGACTGGTAATGCAGCCTTATGAAACCAACCAACAAGTGACCAGGAGGGAGTGCTACAGACTTCAGACGCCAGGAGAGGAAAGATCTGTAAGAGTTCCTCTTACGACCGAAGAGTGATAGTCTACAGTCCTCTACTCAGTTATCTCTCTGTGAACAACTACTCTGTTTTCATGGCCACGCTTACTGGAAATAGTCATCATAGTTTAAACACGGACCAAAAAGGTCAAATACATTTAGGAGGGTAATTCATGCCTCCGAAACCCACACAGCTTTTGGGCTTCTCACCAAACACGCCAAGGCCTGATGAAGGCAGCTGCTGAACGAGGCGTCTCTGACTTGGAAATCATGTAATCCAAGAACAGATACAGGCATCACACGGCCCCAAAGTGGTCCAGGAAGCGCCCAACACAGACACCGACGTCATCCTATTGGCAACCTATTCTGGCATCCGAAGTAGCCAGGAACCTCAGACTTGATGTCAGTTCTTATTCCTGCGATTATGTTTGAGAGCCTATGGACTGTGGTGCATGTATCCTCCAGCCCTGTTCATCTGTGATGTCCCACTTGCCTGACATTTCCAGAGAGAAATATTTCATAAACAGGTAAAAGAATGTCCACAAATAAAATACAGTGACACCTCAGCTGTTGAACTCACTTCATTCTAAATTTGTGTCCCGACACCATAAAGTTCAAGGACCATATGTTTCACGTAGGAAATAATGGAAAACCAAATAATTCATTCTGAGGCCTAAAAATTACACTCATAACGTCATTGTTTCAGAACTTTCACAAATTTCACAACAATTCTTTAGCTCTATGGTGGGTCTCACACTTTTCCTCTCAGCTTTACAGCGGATGTCACTAACTTTCTTTGGAGCCATGGTTGTATTCTACACAAACAAAGAGCAGTGCTGCATGTTGGAATGCAGCGGCACAAGCACCGTGCTCTACGCTGCCTGGGTAGAGAGCACTGCTTAGGCTGAAGTGTCACCCTTTGGGTCCCTGGTAAGATGTACTGTGACTCACTCTCAGGTTTTTCATGTCAGAGTTTTGACTTGACTACTAAGCAAAGTTATGAGCACCAAGCAGATTGCTTCTGAAATCTGCTTTTCAAGCAGTGGGAAGTCCACGCTCGGAGCCGTTCCCCGACGGTGGACACCTGTGCTGGGAAGCCTATGGCACGCGGGCCTCAGTGTGCACACGGAGCCCGCTCTGTCACATGTGAGCCAGGTCACCCAGCAGCCGAGCTCGGGTTTAACTGCAGCACTGGCACTTTGTGACACACCAGTGGATTGTGGGTTGCAGCTTGGGCACCCGTCTCTAAAAGACTCACCATCACCGAGACTACACATATACAGAGCATTAAAAGTAAAACCTGATTTTCATTCATATATCAATAATGCCTCAGAGTTAAACACAATGATGGGCTTTACAGAATAAATAAGTGAAAAAACAAACAAACAATACATCCCAGTAAAAGCCAATATACTGTTCATTTTTTTTCACAAAAACGTATTGGGAATATTGTGGCAAATACTTATTTACTGAAGGAACTTGGGCTCTAAGTACTGAAAAAAACTCAAGAAGTTTCTGCAGAATGCTTTGCACATGCTTAGTCTTAGTGACAGTGAGTCCTTCAGAGACAGAGTCTGGCTGACACTGAGGTGAATATCAGGAGGCAGGTGAAAGGGGACAGAGCGTGACAGGCTGTGGGTGACCTGAGACAGAAGGGTCAAAGCTGCCCACCCCCCGGGCAGGTAACACAGTACAGGAGGCAGCAGCACAGGGCTCTGGGATGCCGAAGTTCCCTGGCACTGGTGGGTGGGGAGTTTTGGGGGACTGCCAGGGTGACAATATGACAAAGGCTCAAGAGAAAGAGTGATGACACAACAAAGGTAGGGAAACAACAAGGAAGGGTCATGTAGGATCCTGCAGACTGCAAGGAGTTGGGATTTTACCAAGAGGAGGCAAAAGTCTCTATATAGACAAGTGGCACCGGGTGACATTTTAACAATACTGGGTGCAGTGGGGGAAGGCACCGAATGTAAAGTGAAACTGGGGAGAACCGTCAGGATGCTATGGGACTAAGAGAGGAGACAGTGGAGATCAGGAAAGCAGTTGGTTTCCAGATACAGTCGACAACTGCAAGCACAGGACTGGCTGACAGGGAGCCAGAGTGAAAAGGAAGGCGCTGAAGAGAGTGCTGTGGCCCAGTGGCCATCGGCCAGAGAGGAAGAGGCTTCGATGGATGGGGAGCAAGACAGAAGCACAGCAAAGATGAGGGGACAGCCCAGGACTGGACAGACCACCGTGTGTCAGCGTGTAAGGAGCACGAGGGGCCAAGAGACTTAATTTTACCCTGAAAATTCCCCAACATGAGGTATCTAGAAGTATGAAGGATGTTACATTCTAACTTCTAGTGAAGTGTAAGTTCAAATGTTACCACATATTTACTTGCCATTTTAACCATGTAACTTTTTACTTCATAGGTATCCTTCAGCTAACACTAAATTTTGCTGTTTTGTAGTTATAAGTCACACAAACTCAGTAGCCATCAAGGGGTCCTACATGAAAACACAGTCCTGTGTTTTCTGTTCTCTGCTCACTTCAGTTTTCACTATCCATGTATTTTTTGTGCCCCTTCAAATAATATGTTGTTCTTTTTCACTCATTTTTTTAAAAGATATTTTGCAAGCTTAAACTCAAGCCTGCATCATATTTGAGAAACACTACGCAACATCCCAGGGAACATTATAGTACCTACCCGGGCCAGAAGCTGTGTTTCACTCTTACAAGAAGATAATGTGCATCTGCTCTGTGAGCTAAGGATACTGGGCAAAATGCACACTGGTTGATGAGGTTTTTTAATTGTATTTTATTTATTTATTTATCTTTATGTATTTGGTACAGGGTCTACAGGGTGTTCAGGGTCTCATGACATAGATCGGACTTGTAGTGATCCTCCTGTTTTCAGCCTTCCAAGCACTGGGATTACAGGAGTGTGCCTCCACACACCGGTCTCAGTGGCCAGCTCAGTGCACCAGGGACAAGGCCAGCATGGCATGTGGTGCTTGGGATCAAACCTCAGTCCCTGTGCTTGTTCTCAGTCTGCTGAGCTATTTTGCCCATCCTATTTTTTGTCTCATTTTTGGTTTTTGTTTACTCTATCACTCCCAGCTCTTTAACTTTTATTTACATAATTAAAAAGAAGAAAAAAAAGAGAATCCTTGCTTATATATAAAAACCATTTTTTTCTCATTGTGGTTGGTAACCAAATCAAATAATAATTTCTTACACTGTCTACTAACCACTAAAATAATTACTATATTTTTGTAACTTTATCTTTTCTTTTTATACTACTTTTGTACTATATTTTCTCAACTACTTTGAGAATATTTTCACTTTTACAGTACAGATTCTAGATTATTGTATGAAAAAGCACAGAAAACATAGGTATAATGTTCCTAGGCTAACATTTGGACATCTCCCTTAATACCTGCTCTAGTCAGTAAATGAGGTGAGTTGTGCACATTGCTCAGTGGCACAGCACCTGCCTGGCAGGTATGAGGTCCTGAGTTTGATTTCCTGTACCAAAAAGAAAATTAGGTGATTTTTTAAAAAGGCATACAATAAAATTAT